CTGTGAGCAGTGCTGGCATCCCATAGGGGTACCAGTTGGAATCCCGGCTGCTCCACTTCTGGTTCAGCTCTCTGCTAACGTGCTTAGGAAAGCAGTGGAAGACAGCCAAGTAAGTGCTTGTTCCCTGGCACGCAATGTAGGAGACTCAGAAGAAGCTCCTGACTTTCAGCTTCGGACTGGTCCAGCTCAGCTGCAGCCATTGCAGCCATTTGGGTAATGAGCCGACAGATGGACAATCTCTCTCTCTCTCATCTCTCTGTAACTCTGCTTTCAAGTAAGTAAATAAATTTATAAGAAAATCAGGCTGCTAACCATGGAGAAGTCCCAGTGGTGAGGAAGGGAACTGTAGACTCTTATAAATGAGGCCAGAAAACAGAAGATAAAAGACCATCATAAATCCCGTGACCTCCATTTTATTAAGAACAATGCTAAGTTTTAGAATTGAAATTTCTGTTTTTTTTTTTTAATTAGAAAGATAGAGTTAGAATTATAGAGGGAGAGATATAAAGACACACAGAGAGAAGTCTTCTATCTACTGACTCATTCCCCAAGTGGTGGCGATAGCCAGGGCTGGGTCAGGCCAGAATCAGGAGTCAGAAGCTTCTTCTGTGTCTTCCATATGGTACAGAAACCCAACACCTTGGCCATCTTCCCCTGCCTTTCCATACCCATTAGCAGAGAGCTGCATTGGAAGTGGGATGGCCAGGATTTGAACCAGTGCCCATGTGTGTGGCTGGTGCTACTGGCAGTGTCCTAAGGTGTTATGTCATAGCACTGGCCCTGAAAATCGGAATTTCTATAAAAACATAAAGGTCTGATTTCTCCAAAACTAGCAAGACAAAATGTTGCGATTTGGGCTCACAAAAAAAATAATGTGTTTTTAACAGAGAAAACATTAAGGAAAAGCAGGAAAAAAAAAAAAGAAAAAATGATCAGAGGTGCCACCCATCAGTCATGTAATATGCTTTCTGAGCAGTCTGACCCAGTCTGACCCAGCAAGCACACACACACACACACACACACACACACCAAGGTCATCTCTGTACATCTCTTTTCTTGCACTTAGGTAGTAGGAAAGCTGGTTCTTTCCTGGGGGAATTTACGGGTTCTCATGAACATCATTTGATTCACATGTGTCACAGTGACAAGCTATATAGAACACCTGCAGGGGGTCCCTGAAGGCTGGTACCCAGGTGTCATTCCACCTGCACACTGTGCCTTTCTTGTACTGCTGAGAAAGCACAGGGGACTGTCCCTGCCAACTGCACTGGGTGCTCCGGCTGCTCCTACGGTCCTCTGAGTGCTCCCCACTGCCCCTGCAGGACCAGTCCCACGATGAGCCAAGGCAGTTCTGTAGCTGCCTCTGCTAGCCCATGTTGTCAAAGGCTCAGAACGGCCCTGAGCCTGTCCAGCCCAGGGGTGGAGTCTGCAATGATCTGGAAGCTGGTCTCTCTGTGGGCATGCAGAGTCTTTCTAATGCAGGAGGGAGATTTAGAGAGTTGGGGGCGGGTAGGGACTGCCAACAAACTTGCGCCTTGTTGCCAAACAGCTGGATGCACAACTTCTCCCTTGTTTGATCTGAACACAACCTCCCCCCCGCCCCACCTCCAATCATCATGTCAATTCCACTCCACACAACCAGTCAGGGTTCCCTGCTCCGTGGTGTCACCCCTGCCTCTGCCGAGGCTCCTGGGTCCACGGCATCAACTCCAGCAGGGTACAAATGCTTTCTGCAGGCTGCACTGTACTCGAATCAAGTATACCCTGCCAGCAGCTGGGGCCATAGCTTGAACGCCACCTTCCTGCCCCGAGGCTGTGACTACCCTGAGCCAGGAGCCAGGGCGTTGCACCCCACCCTTACTCCTCCATCCTGGGTTCTCTAGAAAGTGTGCCCATTTGGGATGCTGGTACCGCAAACAGAAGCTTAGCCTGATACAACTCCACAGCTGCATTTTCAAGCAGGCATCCACTGGGGTGACCAAGCAACCATGCGGAACACTTCAGGGGTGCTGCCACTGAGAACTACTTCGAAACAGAGGCAGACAGAGGCAGGACTGGGCTGCTGGAAGCTGGCTTGAGCTGAGAGGAAACAGAACTGCTCCACTCTGCTCATGTCTTTCTATTCCGTATATTGCCCAGTCCTCTGGGACCCTCTCCCTCCTGCAGATGACCAGGCCTAACCCCGAAGCAGGTAATGGTGCCTGCACAGCACCAGCAAGTGACCCCTTGTGGTCAGGATAGCCCTTGCTTATTGGGTGTTTGCAGTGGAGGGAGGAAAGATTGGAACGGGAACTCCAAGCACCCAGCTCAGAGTGAGAGCCAGGCAAGGTGACCGAGTGGCCAAGTCAAGGCCATTTGACCTGGCACAAAGTCCCAGATGATGACAAGAAGGGGCCCAGGCCTTGTGTCTCGCAGCCCCAAGTGTGGGCTGGGCTGTGGTACTGCTCTGGCCTGCCGTGGCCTGCCATGTGCTCTATGAGGCTCGCCTAGGTTCATTGGTTAAGTCAGTGGGAAGTATCACCAACAGTTACAGTTATGAAAGTCATAAATGCTAATGGCAAAGTATGCAAAATGAACAAAATACCAGAAATGAGAGGGTGTTGGGGAAGTTCCCAGGTACCCCCAAGCAAGCAGGGCTGGCCTGCACTGGCCTCCCACAGGCTGCAGGGAGTCTGGACTGGCCAGCTGCAGGGAGGACACAACTGTTGTTTGGGGAGCACCTGTCCACTCTCCCCTCATCCATATCTACCCAGACTCCATGACCTGGCAGGCAGGCACACAGCTGCAAACAGGAGACACCAGCTTCCTTTTAACCAAATAGGATCTGGTCCCCAGGGTAGCTGGGACCCACAGTAGCCCTGGCCACATCCCTCCCGGCCACGTTGACCCTTCCAGGCTCGCAATCAATGGCCAGAGATGAAGAGAACAGCTCTGCCTGGACATGGGCTGCTGTGTGCTGTGACTGTTGGGATTATAGATCCTGCTCCCCGGGAGGGGGCTCTCCCCACCCCTGCCATGAAGGAGCAGCCCCTTCAGAACCTTGCTGCGTGTCTTCCCCCTGCAAGGCCTCAGCTCAATGTCACTCCATCCTCAGAGACACAGAGAAGGAAAGTGGCCGTGGAGCCAACTTTGTCACTCAGGCCTAGGCAGACCGTGCCGAACCACAGCTCCCTTCTCATCCGGGTCCCTTCTTTTGTTCTTTGCCAAATACAGAGTGAGTAAGCACATCATGTGCCAGGCAAAAGGTGGGAGGGACGCCTCTGTAGCCAGGCTGCTGCTGGCAACCACTGCCTGGCCCCTAGCCAAATGGACAGGGAGGGCTGAACTCACAGCTCCGACTCCCATGGCCAGTCGGCGGCCAGCCTGCATTTCAGCTCTGGTCAAATAGGCTGCTGGTTGGAGAAGGAGCTTCACAGGAACTGGAGCATTTTCCAAGCAGGAAGAACGTGAGATCTTCTTAGTCATTTCCCTGGGAAGATGGTGGAGTTCTTGATCACTGTGTTGTGAATGAGCCAGAGATAGGAATGCTGACCAATGCCCTATACACACGGTCACCCCATTCCCAAGTGGGGGGGTTGGTGCCTGTGAGCCCAGTTCTCCCGCAGGGCAACTTGGGCTGGGCAGAGAGGCTCCTGTGTACAAGAGGCTTGGGGTGCACCCAGTCGGGCAGCAACTACAAGTTCATGATCGGCTCCCCCAGGATGGCTGCAGCCAGGTGCGACTGAGACGGCAATCACCCAGGTAGCACTGACCCATGCATTCAAGTGATCTCTTCCAAACCTTTTTGCAGTCCGTGTCTCCAATAAGACTGGAAAAGTGTTTTAACTTGATGGCTTTCAAGAGAGAATTTCTCAAAGACAGTCGAAGGCAGGGGACAGCGGTGGCCTATTTTCTCCAGGTAAATTGAAATACATTTCGGAATTAAACACCGTGGGAAGTTCAGGCCTCCTGATCCCCAGCTCCTGGGCTGAATCCCCAAGGAAGCAGTGTGAGAGCAGGGGTGGGAGGAAGCAGCCCGCCATCAGGGTGACCCTACAGGGTGTTAGAGTTCCAGGATACAGCTGTCAGCCGGCTCCAGAGCTGCTGCTGGTCCTTAACGTCCTCCTGGCAGAATTACCAGCCAGAATCCAGCGATTCTCCTGGAAGGCGTGAGTCCCAGCTGTGCCCTGTGGGAGTGTGGAAATTCCTCCCCTGTTTGTAACTTGTGCAAATTACACCCACGGCACACTTGCTAGAAGGGACCACAACCCAACATAGCCCGACACACCCCCTGGGAATCTCCTCAGCCTTGCCCTGGCCTCTTGGATTGGGGAGATGGAAAACACACCGTCGGTGCACCTTGCGCTAGTTACTCTACAGCTGGGCGCAATGCGGAAGGCAGAACAAAGCAGCAGCAAACCCAGGACCAAGTTCTGTTCTCAGTGAACCGGATGCTGCCACAGAGCAACTTGCATAGTGAAGTTGTCTTAAGGATTGGGGTGCTTGTCATCTGAGTGCCTGGAGAGAAGGGGTGTCCCCTAGATGAGCCTCCCAGACTCTGAGACTGCTTCTTTTCTGTCACCCAAGCATCCTACTGCACCCGCGGAGGGGAGGTGGGTGTCGGCATTGTGCACCCTCTCCCCACTAGAAATTGGCAGGTCTGGGAGGAAAGAGGGGGCAGAGTGCCCAGCAAGGGGCTGTTCAGCCTTCCAGCGACCCTAGGCTGCCCTGCCAGCCTCTCTGGGCCCCCTGCCAGCCTAAGCCAAGAACCACGGAAGCGCTATTTTTATTCTGATGAACAACAGTGCCGAAATGTGTTCCACAAAATTTAGGTGCTGAGAGAGAGACTTCAATTTCAAGCTTAAAGATTACTTTGGGTCCCCCAGGACTCAGAAGCAATTTAGGGCTGATACCGTGAACAAGAGAAAGGTTAGAAGATTAAGACCAACTGCTGTTTGGATAAATGGTTAGTAATTGCCATATCCGCAATTATACACTGCGCAAAATGTCTTTTCCGCTACCTTTCTCCTCTCCTGCGTCCCGTCAGGATTGATGCGGAAGGAGCCCACCTTGGCCTTCTTCTTCCGAGCCTTGGTGACGTCATGCTCCAGCTCGTCCATCAGAGCCCTGCATGCTAAACAAGACACGAGACAGCATGGTCAGAGGAAGGACAGCCTGAGCGAGCGGAGGAAGTGGGCTATGTGGGACGGAAGACGAGCCCTTCTGTTCTCCCCTCCAGCAGAGGACTCCAGCCCCTAGAGACACGCCCTCGGAACCTGAAGGAACCTTGACCTCTGACAGTGTTCAGAGACAGCCACACTGAGCCCAGTCTCCTCTCAGATCCCCTCTGTAAGCTTTAGGTTTGAAAACTGCCCTTTTTTTTTAAAAAAAAATGTTTGTTTATTTGAAAGTCACGATGACAAAGAAAGAGAGGGAGAGATACACAGAGAAAGGAAATAGAAACTATTATGCCATGGTGCCAGCCCCAAGAAGCACATTGAAATGCAAGTTAAGCATATATGTCGTTTCGGGGCTTGCCCTGTGGCATGCCACTGGCCACACCATGGACATCTCACAGAGTACCAGTTTGTGTCTTAGCATCCGCCTCTGATCTGGCTCCCTGTTAATGTGCCTGGGAAGGTGGTGGAGCACTTGGGCCACTGTTGCCCAGATGGGAGATTCGCATGGAGTTACTGGCTTACGTTTCAGCCTGGCTCAGCCCTGGTCTTTACAGCCATTTCAAGAGTGACCCATGGAAGAAGCTTTCTCTGTCTCTCCTGTCTCTGTAACCTTGCCTTTCAAATCAAAATAAATAGATCTGGTCCAGCCCAGACTACCGGTTGGAAGATGTCTCTATGTCTCTCTCTCTCTCTCTCTCCCTCTCTCTGTCACTCTGCCTTTCAAATAAAGCTTTGATAAAAATAGATTGTGCCTTTTAAAGAATGGAGACATGCATCTCAAAGACCTTATGGGGTGCACTGGTGACAGCCAGGAAGCCAGGGCACTGTGAAGAAAACCTGTCCAAATGGCACCCACCTACCAAAGGCATATTTTGGCCTGGAGTCTAAGTCTCAAGCAACCTTCCAGAACCAAGGTTTTATGGACTGCAGAGCTGACTGTATCCCTTTGAATCTTTTCTCCCCTTCTTCCCAGGGTGTATGGTCCCCCAGTTGAACCCAGCTGCAGGTATCGCCCGAGGGCTATTGAGAAATAAAATGGAAAGAACCCAAAGCCCTGGGGCCCAGTATGGTAACCTAGTGGCTAAAAGTCCATGCCTTGCATGTGCCAGAATCCCACATGGGCGCCAGTTTGCATCCCAACAGCCCCGCTTCCCATCCAGCTCCCTGCTTGTGGCCTGGGAAAGCAGTTGAGGATGGCCCAAAGCCTTGGGACCCTGCATCCACATGGGAGACCCAAAAGAAGCTCCTGACTCCTGGCTTTGGATTGGCTTAGTTCCGGCCTTTGTGGCCACTTGGGGAGTGAACCAACAGACAGAAGATTTTCTGTCTCTTCTTTTCTCTGTAACTTTGCCTTTCCAATGAAAATAAGTAAGTCTTAAAAAGAAGAAGAAGCCAAAGTCCTGCAGGCTGTGGGACAAAGGCCACCCAGCAGCCTGGATGGCTCAGCTGGTTGTGAAAGGAGGCACGTAGCTTCTGTCTTGCCAGGCCATTGTATTCAAGAGTCTCCTTGTTAAACAACATCCCCTTCATATGCCCAGAGTTTGACTAGGGCACTGTTGACCCAATGGCACATGTGTCCCTATGTACTGATTTGATATCCAAATGCATGGTTGATGGCACAGCCTGCACAGAATAGAGTGAGAGTCATCAAGGTGAGAGGCAGCTAGGCTGTCCCAGAACACGCGGTGGCTCCTGCGGCAGTCGCATCACACTCAGCTCTTTGCTGATGTTCCTTGTGCTGTCCACACTGCAGAGACACAGCTGAGAGGGACTCGGCACCCAGCCCTGCACTTCCTATGCACCTGATGTAACTGCAAGTCTCTGTGTGCACACACATCAGAGCTCAGGCCTTGCTGCCATGTAGGCCAGCTGGCTGTCCTGCCTCTGCTGCTTACAGCCGGGGGACCCAAGTCAGCGAGAGCTGTCACTGATGATTGTGATTACCTATGCCTGATGGATAAATCCAGTGAGTAACACTCAGTCCTGCCTGCCCAGAGGCCTGGCTCTCTAAGGCCACTGCCAGGAAGAGCTAGAAGAGCCTGCTAAGCCCACCTGGAGGCATCCAAGACTAGTCCTGCACCCTGCCAGTGCTCCCACATACAGAGGCCACTAAACTACCCCACAGTCACTGTTCCCCTGTTCCTTGGGAACAGAGCTCATACCTGGGCTCCCAAATCATGTGTTCCAGAGGCTTCTAAAGAGCCCGTCACCCAAGCCTAGTGCAATGACTCAATTGACTAGATGTCTACCTCCAAACACTGGCATCCCATATGGATGCTAGTTCATGCCCCACTTCCCGTCCAGCTCCCTGTTTGAGGCCTTGGAAAGCAGTAGAGGATGGCCCAAAGCCTTGCACCCATGGGAGACCCAGATGAGGCTCCTGGCTTCTGGCTTCAGGTCAGCTCAGCTCTGGATATTGAGGCCATCTGGGAAGTGAAATGTAAATCTGCCTTTCCAATAAAAATAAGGTGTTTTTTTGTTGTTGTTTTATTTCGTTTTTTTTTAAAGATTTATTTTTATTATTTTTTTATTGGAAAGGTGGATATACAGAGAGGAGAGACAGAGAGGAAGATCTTCCATCCGATGATTCACTCCCCAAGTGAGCGCAACGGGCCGATGCTATGCCGATCCGAAGCCAGGAGACTCTTCCGGGTCTCCCACACGGGTGTAGGGTCCCAAAGCTTTGGGCCGTCCTCAACTGCTTTCCCAGGCCACAGGCAGGGAGCTGGAAGGGAAGCGGGGCTGCCGGGATTAGAACCGGCGCCCATATGGGATCCCGGGTGTGCAAGGCGAGGACTTTTAACCACTTGCGCCACCGCGCCGGGCCCTTTTGTTTCGTTTTTTAAAGAACCATCACTTTGGGTCCTGGCACAGTGGCCTAGCTGCTAAAGTCCTCATCTTGAACATGCCAGGATCCCATATGGGTGCTGGTTCTAATCCCGGTAGCTCCACTTTCCATCCAGCTCCCTGCTTGTAGCCTAGGAAAGCAGTCGAGGACGGTCCAAAGCCTTGGGACTTTGCACCCACCTGGGGGACCTAGAGGAAGTTCCTGGCTCCTGGCTTCGGATCGGCACAGCTCTGGCTGTTGTGGTCCCTTGAAGAGTGAATCATCTGACGGAAGATCCTCTCTGTCTCTCTTCCTCTCTGTATATCTGACTTTGCAATAAAAATAAATTAAAAAAAATTTTTAAAGAACTATCACTCTCCCTTTATCCATCCTACTCTACCCCCAGTTGGAATGTGGACATTGGCCAGACTCAGGATGGGTGAGAGATGGCAAGGTGAAGAGCTGTGAAGAGCCAGGGTCTACAACTGCTTGGACGCCTTTCCTCCACTTTCACCAGAGACACACAGGGCCTTCTGGATCGTCGAGGCCACCACTGCTTTGGGGTTTCCTACTCTCACTCACAGACAGAAGTCACCTCATCATCTGCTCTTTGCAGAGGATGACGCCTGACCAGCCATGAATGGAGCCCTTTGGGGGATGCCTGGAGACCACCAAACACATGGCAAGCCTGCAGGGAGCGCAGACTCAGGTCGGCCTGGAGTCAGAGAAGAGGGCTTGGGCTTTTGGACACTCCCTGCCCCTTGCCACACAAGGAAGAAGACAATGGGAAGTAGAGGCAGAAAGGGCCAGTGAAGAAGGGTGGCCACTTTGGCCATCGGGTCAAACTCGGAGGGCAGGGTGGGGTCATGGGAAGGCAGCAGCAGGCCCCTGTGAAGGTTGTTGGAGCATGGGGGGTGAGGCCAAGGCAGGTATCCCAGCTGGGGTGGGGGTTTGTGGCACAGGTGCTTCCAACTATCAGATTGGAGCCAGGAGCTGGAGAGGCTGTGTGGCCTCCTTGCTCAGAGAGGACAGTGTCAAGGCCACAACAGAAGGGGCGTAGCCTCATCACTCAGTCCCCAGCTCCGTTCCCGCCATCCTTTCATGTCTGTGCGTTGGCCGCAGACCACATGAGTCGGAGCACCTGGCACACACACCACTGCTCCCTTCCCACTCTCTTTGGACTCCTTGTGTGGAATTCCGGAGTGGGACAGCCAGCGTGGGACCCCCTGCTCTGCACTCCCAGCATCTTTCTGTTCTTGACATCTGCAGACCCCAAGTGCCCGTCTCCTGCCTGGCTGCTTCTCCCAGAGCCTCAAGCTCACTCTGCCAGTGGCTGCCTGGTGTCCGTAAGCCTGGAAGGGCTGGCCAATGTCAGCTGGAGCCCAGTGCAAAGGTGTGGCCCCTGGAGCCATCTGAATTTGTCCTTTACATCTTTGGCTCTGCTCCCCACCTTGTACCCCCGTTTATGAGGCAACAAGACAGTGTGCTATGACAGGGTTCTTGGGAGCTGACAGCTGTCATGGAGCGCCAGTAGAAGTGAGAAGATAGTGCCCACAGGGGCATGGAAGTTACAGCAAATAGAAGAGAATCTGCAGAACGGGGCACGCTGAACGTTTATGCCCTGCCTACGTCTCCTCCTAGGCAGCCTGGCTGCAGTGCCCAGAGCACTGGGCAGGCTCTTCCAGCTGGCATGCCTCAGGGACATGGTCACCCCAGGCAAGGTTTTCTAGCCTGGTGGGGATCACTCTGGTAGCACCCCAGGCCTACATTGTACCCTGGTAGCACCCGGCTCTTTCTTACTCTCCCTTCCCAGGGACTTCTCCTAGTGAAAGCATTGCTCCACCAGCCCTGCACCGCAGTCTAGGGCAGGCCTCAGGGTCCTCTGTGTCCCTCCAGAAGGCTAAGGCAGCACGTGAAGGGGTGTGGAGGGGAGGGATTTCCACCGGAAGCCACGGCGCCTGCCTCCCTCGCTAGAATCGGGCGCACAGGGCTGAGGACTCAGAGCTCGCCCAGGTCGTGTGGGACAGCTCCAGGCTTGGGGGTGAGGCAGGAGGGGCGTCCTCCAGCTCTGCCTTCCCTGACCTCCCCAAGGAGCAATGACTCCAAGAGAAAAGATCACTTT